GACAGCCCCGGAACGCCCAGAGACCGGCAGGACACGCCTGTCACCTCCTAGACATGCCCATCATATGACAGAACATGCCCATCAACTCTTAGACACGTCCATCAATCGACAGACCACACCTATCATCTCTCCGACACGTCCATCACAAGACAGGCCATGCCCATCACATCTTAGACACGTCCATCAATAGACAGACCATGCCCATCTCTCTTAAACATGCCAGTCATCTGACATGCCATGCCCATCACCTCTTAGGCACACCCATCAATAGACAGACCATGCCCATCACATCTTAGACACGTCCATCAATCAACAGACCATACCCATCACCTCTTTGACATGCCAGTCATCTGACAGGCCATGCCCATCACCACTTAGAAACACCCATCAATAGACAGACCATGCCCATCTCTCTTAGAGAGAGATCAGGCATTGGAATGTGCTGCCCAGGGAGGTGGTGGATTCACCATCCCTGGAGGTTTGCAAGGTGAGACTGGATGTGGCACTTAGTGCCATGGTCTAGTTGGACTTGATGATCTTGGAGGTCTTTTCCAACCCTGTTGATTCTATACGATTCTATGAATTCCAGGCCCGGAGGAGCTGAGAGCTGGTTAGCACATCCTGGTACAGAAAATCCTGCTGTGATACACTGTGTGAAACAGAGCAACTGCTCATACTACATTGGTCAAAGATATGGGATAGGTGACACCTGTGACCACCACCACCCCCTGAAATCCTGGAGAAAGCATGAAGGTTCCATCCTTCATCTATACCCACCCTCACTTCACATGGAAATTAGGAATAGCCATCCACGGATACCCAGAATTTGACTGTATAAAGGTGGTACCCCCAGACAAACAACTGGACACCCCCAACACCAGAAGAACAAACTGGAACCCACACCAGAGAGAAGTCCAGGGTGAAGAAGGACCTAGAACCTTCTCTTCTCCAGGCTGAACAGCCCCAGCCTCTCTCCTGGGGATGGAACTCAGCCCAATCTCTGTGGGTACAGTAAAGCTGCTTTCCAGGAAAGGCTCCAGGAGTTCAACCTGGAGGTTCCAGCCAGGAAAGGAACGGGAGCAGCACTGGGATACCCTCTGAGCATCCACAGAGACTGAGTTTGCTCACAGTGTGTTTAACACCCATTGTCAGAGACAGGAAAGCACAAGCAGCCACAGTCCAGTGTTTGGCTTTTATTGAGACTTGATTCTCCTCTTTTCATATAACTTATCTAATTAAAATATTCATCTTAGTTACCACAAAAAAAAAGGAACATAGAAAATTGTATATACACAATTCGGGACTGAAAAACAAATGCAAGTCCAAGTCACTCCCTTTCTGCCCCACTGCTCATCCCACCAGGATGGGGTGGGGAAGGGGGAAGAGGCAGCTCTGCTCCATTCCTTCCTGGTTGGTGTAGCACACAACAACTGCACAAGTGTCACACCCTGAGCCCCAGACTTTGCTTAGTGTGTCCCTCAGGGACATTAACTCTCTGCTCCCACCTCTTCCCAGGGGTGGCTTTAGTGTCTGAGCAAAGGGAAGGGAAGGGTGAGGGGTTGGCATGGCCCCAGCACCAGTGGGATGCACAGAGTCACTCCAGACACAGCCTCACCCCCCAAAGCTGAAACACAGACACAGCTGGCAAAGCCTGGAGCAAAGGGGCTGCCTGGAGAGGGAAGGAGCATCACCCCAAACCAGCAATGCTTTGGGCAGTACCCACAGCTGAGCATGGAGCTGTGATATGAATTAATTGGCAGTTTAGCAGTGCCCAAAATTGTTCTCAGGCATCGCCCAGACCCTTTGTTCAATGCTCCACAGGGTCTGAGCATGATACCAGACTCTGCTTCCCTCCCCTCTGCCCCTACCCCGAGCACAGAGGAGAAATAAACGGTAGCACAACGGTCAGCAGAAGAGGATATATTGTTATCTAATTAAAAATACAGCAAAATTAAATACAGCAAAAAAAAAAAAAAAAAGCAGGAGGGAGGAGCAATTATTTTACAGCACAACACACACTGAAATGCTGCACAGTAACATTAAAGCATTTGGGACTGTAACAAACTTACAGCACATGAGAGTCTGAGAACATCTTTCCACGTACTTCAAACTAAGGAAAGAACAGACCAAATAAACAGGACACAGAATGGTTTTAAAGAAAGAGATTTTTTTAAAGAGAGGGGGGAAAAAAAGAAAAGAAGAAAGAAACAAATAACCCAACAGAAACCAGAAGCAAACAGGAATTTTTCTAGAGCCCTCCAGGGAGGACCTTCACAGCAAAGGTTTCCCCCGGTCAGTGCACACAGACAACTCTACTGGTTTGGGATTTGGCAGTCATGGAAAACCAGCAGCAGAGCTTCTCAAGAGCTGCCAACAACAACAGCAGCCACTACCAGCATCTTTTCCACCCAGACAGCAAAGTCCTAGGGCAACAAATATGGCTTGGAACAGGAGAATCCCTCCTCTCTCCGCTCCCTCACAGAGAGGTCTGGGTGTCACCACCCCATCCTCTGCTTGCACCACCCCTGGGGAGCTCACTCTGAGGCAGACACAACCTACAGGCAGGAACATTCCCAACAAGGCTCCACATTTCTCAGCCAGCACTGGCTCTGTGCTGTGAGCTCACCTGCATCACGCTCTCAGGCTCTGCCCTTCCCTGTGCTCCAGGACACTTCCTCACACTCCCACCAGCCCTGACTCCAACTGTGCCACATCACACTCCTCTCCCTTCCCGAGCTGCAGCTCCTCAGACACCAAGCACAACTGAACCTTCTGACCTCCTGCTTGGAAGGACACACATGATAAAATAACCACATTCCGTTACTCACTTCCCTCCAACTTCATTCAAGTGGTTTCAGGTTCCAAGACTAAAATCCTTGGATTTTTTTTTCCAATGAGGGAAAACATACAAGGAAAAGACAGGATTTAGGCACCAGCTTCCAGACTGGAAATAAATCCTTTCCAATTCCACACAGAAAACAAGATAAAAGTCTTCCTTCTTTCTACTAAAACAGGCAAATTGATGCCTTCACTGATATTTAAAAACTGTTTGCAATTGCAAAGTTCCCTCCAGATAAAAAATTAAAACCTGACTTGATGCACAGTAAAACTTCTCCCCAAATCCCTTGTAGTTCTATTCCCAGTAGCCAGCAGAAGACAACAGCAGCAGAGGAAACACCTCCAAAGGCTCTGGGCATCCCTGCACGACCACATAAGCATCTGCACAGGATCTACAGCGACAGCAGAGAGAAGGTCGAGAGCTCAGATTTTATTAACACACATGAGCAGGGAGAGAAGCCTCAGGACTTGATGCACTTGCCAAAGGACTGACAAGCAGGTGGGCCACTGATCCTACCTGTCCCAGAGTCTCCAGGTGAGACTTTGGGCCCAGCAGGGACCAGATCACGAGGAAAGACTCCTCCTGTGACACCCATTGTCCATTCAGATGGATTCCAGCTCAAGTCCCAGAGGCTGACCCATGATCTGGATTGGGAAGGGAGAGACTACTGGGAGCAACATAAATAATACAGCAGGATAGAGGGGTAAAATATTAATTAAAACCATTTTATAATTTATTAAGAGGTTAAATAGTAAATAAGTCTCTGGATCTTCCACTCTCAGCAGGTGCCAAGACTTCACATTGTATTGTGTCGGGAGATTCCGGACATCCTTCTTTTGAGGGATGTCAAAGCCAGAAAGAGGATGCTGAGGGCAGGGGGAACAGAGGGGGCTTGACACTGAGAAAGGGACCAGAATAAAAGATAAAATACTGTGCCGTCATCTTGTGCAGATTGAAGCTTCTCCCAGCAGCTGCAGCCTCCAAGGAGTTCCATGAAAAGGGCTGTTTGGGTACCTTCTCCCCCTTCAGTGCCAACTCCTCCCCAAGAGAGAAAGTCCCAGATCTGCACTGCAAACTTATCTCCGAGAGAATCTGTTTTTGAAAGCTTTGATAGTCTTTGCCATCATGGGTGCAATTTCTGCAATAGAGAAAGAAGAAAAAACAACAAATCAAGCCAAAAACCCACACAGGTAATCTGCAGTGACAGGCTAAGCACAGAGCAATCCAAAGCTGCAGCCCTGGCAAAGCAGAGGCAAGGCACACACGAGTGTGTGCTCTCTGATCATGGCCCATCCTATTTTTCAGGCCACAGCACTGCAAGAGCACAGATCCCTGGTTAAACCCTCCCTGCTTCCTTCCCAAGAGACATGTATTACAATTTCCTTGTTCCAAACTGCTGTGGACAGACACAGCAGGAGGGCAAAGGCAGTTCTGCCTCACTGGTACCATTAGGACAGGCTCAAACATTCAGCTCTGAGCAGGTAAGTGAATCAGATGTTTCCCTGTGCAAGAAGTTTGAATAGACTTTATCACCCTCTCCTTAGGGAGAGGAGAGAGGCCAATATCAACCCTCCTGCCCAGCCTGGAATTCTCCTATGGTAGAAGCAGCTGTTGGTGAAGGAGGAGCTCAGAGACCACCACAAGGATGTTCTGCAGGTTATACTTACTCTTCACTGGGGGTTTCCTGGGGTCGTAGGAGGAGAAGGTGCTACCTGAAGATGGGACAGAGTGGGCACTGCTGGTGCTGGGCCCATCGTAGGACTGTTCGTCGCTCGTTCGAGTGTGGCTTTTGCTAGAGGTGTACAGGACTGGTTTGATTCTGAAACAGAGGTGGGATAGGCAGCTCAGTAAAGGATACACTGTGGTTTGGTGCAATTCTTCAGACACAAGCTATGTTTGTTAACAGCAGCATGGCTGATACCACATGGAGCCAGCAGTGACCAGGATCTCTGTTACTTCCCAGCCACAAAGAAGCTCTTACAGTCACAAGTTTCACTGCAAAAGGAGCTCCCAGATACACAGAATCCTTTCTTGGCAGGGTGCAGAGCTTGAGGGGGAAGCTGGCAGGAGGCCTTGAGTGGCAAATGCTGCTGAGAAACACTCACTTGGTCTTCTCTGGCAGAAGAGGTCCTCCAGTTCCAAACTTCTCTTGTCTCCTCCGTACGTCCCGAGGAGGTTTTGCTGCAGAGTTCACAAATGCCATTTTGGCCACTCTACCTGTAAGAGGCCAGAGGGAAACATCACTTAGATCCAGCTCACTAAAAAGTTGGTTCCTCACTGCTTGTCTTCAAGTTCATCCACCTCTCCCCAGTCCATCCACTCCAAAGCTCTGATGAATCTCCTACCCAGGGTCTGAACCTCTTGCAGCCACAACACAGGCTGCGAGAAATCAGACTGATCAGCTCAGCACTTCTCATTATGTTCACCAGAAGAGCAGAAATGCTTCCCCCCACCCTGGTTTCCTTCAATCCAAGCATGGAAAAGCCACTGTGGAAAAGGAGGTGCCCCTGCAGCCCGGCACACTCCTGCTGTAAAATATTGCTCTGTCTAGTTTGCATCATCAACACTACGGATGAAACCAAGAGCCTGTTAAACCATAAAGCAAAGGCCACCAAACAAGCAGTGAGCCAAACAACAACTAAACTGGACTAGCTTTAAGGCAATCATGAGAAAACCCCTTCAGTCAGCCCCACCTTTGGGTTTGTTGGCATGAGCTGAGCCGATGTTCCGTGCCAACATCAGCAGCCTCTGCTCCCGCGCGTCGTGGAGCCTCAGGTACATCTCCCGCCACGACTCAAACTCTTCTGGCTTCTCATTCTTGAAGTCTCTGAGGCAATGATTGTGCCACAGCTGATCTGTATCCTCAATGAGCACCTGAAGCAAACCCACAGGTAAGTTGGGATCCCTCCTGACACCTCCACTCAATCCCTTTTCCCTCAGCACCAGTTAGCACCAGTGTCCCTGGAATTTCGCAGAGGGAAAGATGGTTTGGGGGGCAGAGGCAAAGCCAGGAACTCAGGGCTGGCAAAACCCACTTCTTGTTATAAAAATGCTTTGTTCTTTACTATTCTGCTATTGCAGATGAGGACAGAACGTGACTCCTGTATCTCACATCCCTTCCCAGGCCGAGGCACTCACATGGTTACATTCCTCGATACGGTACAGCTGCTCTGGAGTGCATCTCTCCAACACTGGCTCCAGCACGGAGAAAGGGACACCACCAACTTCATAGATTGCTAGAGAGAACCAAGATGCACAGAGGATTATTTAGCCTGCCAAGGAAAGGGCTTGACACCTTGAAATGCAGTGAAAAAAACCCTGCAGCGCTGCATGACAGGAACAGTATGAGGGGAAGGAGAGAGGAACGTGAGGCACAACATCTCCAGGTTAAGAAGTGCCTGTGCAGGCTCTGTTTGACACCCTCTCCAGTGCTGCAGCAGTGAAGACACTCTAGGTGCTGATCTCTGCAGCACCTCCCCTTGAAGGCACTCTAGGTGCTGATCTCTGCAGCACCTGAGCTTTCAGTGGGATCTGTCCCACATTATTTAGCCCCATGACAAGGATTCACACCAACGAGGCACCAAGATTTTGGTACACCTGCACAGGAACATGACTTTGAGACAGCTGAGCAAAGGTACTTACAGTCAATGTTGTTACTGAGGACCCTGATACACTGCTGGTACAGAGACATCATCTTTGGGAGATAGGCAGTCTTGGAGCCTGAGTACACCTGCATCTTGGAGTTTAACCGCCGGCCCGTGAAACCTGCCTCGCTCTCCTCCACGGGTGAGGACACTGCTGTGAGGGGAAAGACTTGGAGTAAGAATGGAACAGAAAAATGAGGGGCTCATCCTGATGAGCAGCACAGGAGACACCAACTGGAGTCACCCAGAAGCAACCTAAAGGGCAAAGTCTTTTCCATGAGACCTGAAATCTAGTTTGAGTCCTAAACTCAAGCCCCAAAGAAGGGTCAGCAAAGGATTTCTTTTTCTGCTGGATCATGTGGGAAAGCAGCTGCTTCCTTCTGAAACTTTGGAAGACTTGAACCCAGCCAGCATCCACTCCCACTCCCTCCCACAAACTGGCTCATTCCAAACCTATTTCCCTGCCCAACATACCTTTCCTTTTTGTCTGGGAGCAGGTGATGGACTCAATGGAGGGCAGAGGGCGATAATTGGCCTGGATAGGGGGCAGAGGGATGTCTGGTAACGTTGGGACCACATCTAAAATTATCTGGAAGGAGAGGACATGCAGGTAAGCCAAGAACACAGGAGAATGTGACATCCTGCCAGAGTACAAACAGCACTGAACTGCATTTTTTTGCATATTCTGAACAAAACACTCAATGCTGATCAGTCTGTGCCAGGAAACAGCCTCAGGGGGTGAATCTGTCTAGGCTGTCAACGTGGAGAAGCCAAAATTTGGGATCTGAATCACTCAGCATCCTCCAGTAAGAGCCATCCACGTTTTTAACCTACTTGGGTCAGTGCTGAGACCTCTGGCAAGAACTAAAGTGATACTGACAATGTATAAAGCTAGAGGAAAAAACAGAAGACAACGTTGGCAGAAACATCTCCTTGATCTCAAACACTCATTTCTCCATTCTGCCTCTTCTCCTGCAGAACCTCTGCAGTGGTGGAGGAAGGAGGAACCACAAACTGAGGGGAACTGAAAACTTTGATACAAAACACTGACTAGAATGAATGGCAAACAGGATTTAAACTGCTGATGACACTATAAAAACCACTTTAGGAAGAGCCAAGTGTGCCCAAGTTGAATAAAAAGATGAGCCAGTAAAGGTTTTACATGTTAGTCCCTATTTATACACCAAAGCCTGGCACCCCTGTGCCAGATTCACCCATGTGCCAATGAATCTGTACAGAAATATTGCTCATTTTCCAAGCTTTTACAAAAGGAGGTTTGTCTTCTGGAACAAACTGCCTTGTAACAACAGTTCTCCCATTTCTGGACACCAACAGATTAACCTAACAAAACTGTAGTACCAATAGAGGTTCAAAAGGTTCATTTTAGAGCACAAATTCTTGAGAGGAGACACAGAAGAACCTTCCTCAGAGGAGATGCACTGCACACTGGGCTGGATTCTAAGCTGCCTCACATCACATTAGGTCCTAGGTTGGACTTGATGATCTCAGAGGTCTTTTCCAACCTGACTGATTCTATCATCTGCAGATCCTCTCCTGCTTAACAAGTGCATCCCATCCCATACTATTCCACACAAATATTTAGCTTTCTCTTAGCTTTCCCCTTTTACTCTCCCCATTTTTGAATAAACATAGAATAATAACCACAAAAAACACCCACTTTCTTTCTTCCCCTCCCACTTTTCCCGAGAGCAGCTGATCCCACCTTCCTTGCTCACTGCCAGATCCTGCAAAACCTTACCCTCTTTGGTTTGGGAGGCTCTGCTGGTTTCTTCTCTGCCTTCTTCTCACTTGTTCGTTTGTGGCTTGGGCTCTTCTGACTGGAGCTCGAGCTGTTGGTAGTGGCTTTGGATCCATTCTGTTTGCTGTGCCCTCGCTCCTTCTCCCCAGCTGAAGGTTTCACCACCTTCTTTTTCTTTTTCTGGGGTTGGTCATAACTGAGATAGGACTCAAAGGACATTGTAGGCTGTTCAAATTCATCCTCTGCTTCCCCCTCCCCAGAATTGGAAGAAAACCCCACTGATTTCTTGTCCACTTCAGAGATTTTGCGCTTCCCCTCTGAGGATTTTAAGCTCCCAGAAATGCCCTTTTCTTTGATCCTGTTTGATGAGTCACCCTCAGCTTTCCGTTTCCCTGAGCTGGAGCTCTCCAGGCTCAGCTTGGACTTCTCCAATTTGCTTTTCTCAGAGTCCCTATGTTTCTGCTTCTTGTGGTTGTCCAAAGGCTCTTCCAAGCGCGGCAGCTTCTCCTTCCTGGAGGTGCTGCTCTCTCGGTTCTTCTCCTTTTTGGTGCCATCTGATGTCCTCTGCTTCTCCTTGCTGGATGCTGCCACGGGGGATTCTCTGAGCTGCTCTTTAAAAGAGGCCTTGTGCAATCTCTCTGGGCTGAAGGCAGAAGTCCTGTCCTCCCCTCTGCCATCCAGTCTCTGCTTCTTGTGAGAAGACTTGTGCTCTTTGCTTCGACTCACATTCCCTTTGTCACAGAACTCCCCAGAGTTCCTCTCACGGCCTCCCCCAACCTTCTCCTGGAAGCTGTGGCCTTTGCTGCCTTTCCGAGGGAATACTGTGGGTTCTTCCTGCTCCTCAGAGGCATAAGGGTCTGTGTCCATATCCTGAGGGCTCTCACTGGGCCCAGGTGACACAGCTTGTCCACAGTCCGAGTACTCCTGATCTGAAGAGAGCACTGGGGAAGATCTGCCCCAACCCTTCCCCTGGTGGCTGCTGTAGCCATAAGTCTCATGGGCTCTCTCAGGCCTGGGATACCTTTTGGATTTCTTTTCCCTATGATCTGGGCTATAGGACTGGCTGCAAGATGGCTGGAAGGGCTCTGAGTACTCCTGGTCAGGCTCCTCATCCTCTCTGAGGGAGGACTCCTGATGCCTTTTGCTGGAGCTGCTCCTCTCGTAGTCACGGTCTTCAGAGTCCAGGTTATTCCTGAAGGGAGAAGAAAACCAAATAGCTAGATTCAAACATCCCAATAGGAATGAAAAGAGCCATTCCCTAGGGACCATGTGGACTGGAGCATCTCTTAGAGAAGACTAAGGTTGGTTCAGGAAGTTTTATTGCAAAAAAATCCCACAAACTCCGGCACAGCAATATTCAGGGATTTAAAAACTAGGGCAAGAATTGATTAAGCACTTTTGTTAGGACTAGATGTGTACAGAACCTTCTCCATGCTTATACCCTCCTGGCTGTGAGGTGCCTGTGGGAAATGTCCCCCAGTTCAGGACACCAATCACTTAAATTTCCCATGAACAACTGGGTCTTTATCACCCAAATCAGTTTGATCTCCTCGAGGGTTCCATACAGCTTTGTTACTGCATTAACTTTCAGTTTCCACAGGATTTTGGCTCATAAAAAGCCTTTTCACAAACCAAGCCACTTCCTTTGCTTGGGCCTAGAACTTCCTGTCTTCAGCATCATAAAACAGGAATCAAGCAGATTGCATCTCTTGCTTTACTAAGGGCACCTTTTATTTTGGCATCTCCTGCTAATCTCTTCATCAAACTGCAGATTCTTGAGAACTGGCCTCTAGTTCCACACAAAACTGCAGCTGTCAGCAGCCTCAGCTCCACAGCCAGCAAAGGCAGGAAGTTTATGCCAAAACCAGGCAAACCCCTCAAGGCAGAGTTAGCATATTTGTGTTACGAGGTTATTTTGCTAGACTTTCACTTTGTTTCCTTGGCCAGAGAGGTTTATAACCTTCCCCAAACCTCAGGGCCACTCACCTGTCTGTCTCTTGGGCCACTGGCACCAGCTTCTTCCACCTGGCCACGAGGTCCTTGGCAAAGTCTCCCACCAGCTCGTGTTTCCGAAGGCTGTTCACAGTCTTCCCAACACCTGTCTCCTGCAAGAGAGAGCCAAGGCATGAACTCACCTTAGCAAAACAGGTGCTCTTCCCTCTGCTAGGCTTCCTACAGAGCCAAGGAAGTGCTGTGAGAAATAAACTTCCTTGACCCGACGGCAAAGATATCACATTTCCTGTGTTTTCACCTCACAATATACAATCTACTGCATGTAAATCAATGACTTAACCCTCCTCCAACAGTAACCGTATTAATGAACCACATTAGTATTCACTGTGGCAGCTGGTAAATTTGAAGGCAGAAGCCAGTAGCAATTCTGAGGATTATCACTTCCTAATTTCATGCTGATTTGTCACCACTGAACTGTTTCAACCCGTTCAGGGGTTAAGTTTTGTGGATGACAAACTGTCCTCCAAGGCTTCCCACCTGCTCTGACACACTCCTTCCCTGTGCCTGGCACCTCCAGAACCTCACCACAGTCACACCCCTGACACCAGGCTGCAGCAGGTGGCCAAGGCAGCACACCCTGTTCCAGGGAAAGCAGCATTTCTGTGGAAAACACTGATCCTGTGACTCGACAGACACTGTGGAAGTAAAGTGTGAGAGATTTCACAGCTCTTACCACGAGAATGTCAACTGTGATGGGCAACTCAGACAGCCTCTTCAGACTTTTCAGCAGCTGTGGAGACAAGAGGAAAAGTGTTCAGCCTTGTCACATGGAAACACAGAGAGATTAGGAAGGAAGAAAATGCTGCAGAGCTTGTCAGGAAGATCCAAGTGGCAGACAGCTGCTGTCTCACTCCAAAACAAGCTCCTGAGAAGCTGAACACGAGGGCCAACTGTAAAGAAATTATTGTCTCTTTGCCTACAAGAGCCTTGCAATGCACTCAGACATTAGTGTTTCCTTCACACGGGGCTGCAGCTCAAATCTGGCTCAAAGCATCAGGAACAGCCACACACAGCAAGAGGGAGAAAGGACTGGGAAGCTTGTGACTCTCAGAACATGGTGCTGGAATTGCAGCCCTTGGCAAGAAGGTTGGGAACAAACCAAAACCAAAAGGGACAGGAGATTTCTAGATGCTCCTCAGTGTGGAACGCATGTCTCCTCTGCCAACCCTTCACTGGGTCAGTGCTGCTGACAGTCTCACTCCTCCCAGGTGCTAAAAAGGTATCTGATCTCTTCCACATCCACTCCCTCTTGCCCCACTCATTTCTCTTCCCTTCACCACACACCAGTGAAGTGTTTTCCTCCACACACACCACACAAGACCCTGCCAGGAAGAACAGTCACTCTGTGGGCCAGGGAAGGACAAGGAGCTTGACATGAGGAAATGGCCTCAAGCTGTGCCAGGGGAGGTTCAGGTTGGACATCAGGAAGAATTTCTTCATGGAAAATGCTGCCAAGCATTGGAAGGGGCTGGAAGCATTGGAAAGTGGAGTCACCATCCCTGGAGGTGTCCAAGAAACAACTGGACATGGCATTCAGTGCTCTGGTCTAGTTGACAAGGTGGTGATGGGTCACAGGTTGGACTCAGTCTTGGAGGTCTTTTCCAACCCTAATGATGCTGTGATTCTAGATGAAGGGGATGTTCTTGTACCTCTGCCAGCCAGGTGGTTTGGGACATGGCTTCACTGATGTGTCTCCTGCCTCTGTAGCTACAGTAGATGGTGGCACACATCTGACAGCACTGTTGCCCCTCACATTATTTCCCACAGCTCAGCTATAGCCACAGTCCAGCCTCATCAGCATTCCCATTATTATAGCCCCTATACAGCCCAGGCTTTGCTCAGCACTCCTATGCTATATGCCATACAAAGGGCTGCCCCTGATCCAGAAGATCTTCTCTTTAAAGCACTGTGCTCGTGCTCAAATCAGCACTGTCAGCCTAAGCTGACATGTCCCATCACCCCCACGTCCACCCTGCAAGGATCAGAGAGGTTTAGAAGTTTCCTTCCTTCTGAAGAAAATAAGGTCTCTTAACCTATTTGAAGAGTGCTGTTGCTTTCAGAGAGGAAACACGGAGAGAAGGGTCCACCTGGCTCCAGCAGAACCACAGTTTCTCCTCACTAGAAACCACTCCATTCTATTTAGGACTTAGTAACCGTGACTGAAGGTTTCAGTTTTCTTGTTTTAGAAGAGTGAAACACTGATACCAAGAGTAACTCCTGTTGCCTTGCCAGCACTGCAGCTGGACAAGTGCATTGGCAACCCAAGCCATCAAACCAGAGAGAGCAGAGACACATTCCACCTCTGCTGCCTTCCTCAGCAAGGCCTGCACAGGCCACGGGTCAGGATCCCTCCAGGAAGGCCCAGAACCTTCTGGCATTGATAATAAAAGAGTTTGGACCAGTGTGTGCAGAGGTAGGAGGCAGGAAGGAAAGGGAAGAAGGTTGGATTTTGTACTAGATAGGAAAAAAACAGGACAATGTTAATACAATAGTGTCTCTGTCAGCTAATTAACTTCCTAGACAGGTTGTTGCAGAGCTTACAAAATCCCACCGTGACAGTAAGAACCAAAGGAGAACTTGTTCTGGCATCCTTAAAACCTCCCAATTCTTTTCTAGCTACACTCCACTGTAGCATCTCCCACAGCTCTTCTTGCTCTTTAGCTGTTTGCTGCCTTCAGGGCTGAATTCCAAGAAGAAAAGTGCTGTTCTCAATGGGTTCATCCCTGGATTTTGTGTGGTGGGAGACCAGGGACCCACACATTTGATCCAAACACATCTCACCGGGAGTTGGGTTGTTCCACACCCACTGCAGTCAACACCTGCAATCCCTGTGGGCCACAGGTCCTTGGGCATGAGAGGCACCAAGTGAGACAACTCCAAACCAGAGAGGCTTAAGAACTTGTACTGATCTGTATTTCCTATGGAGCACTGAAGCAGGCTCAAATGGACATCAGGAAGAATTCTGGACATCAGGAGGAATTTCTTCATGCAAAGTGCTGTCAGGCATTGGAATGTGCTGCCCAGGGAGGTGGTGGAGTCACCATCCCTGGAGGTGTCCAATCCAAGAAACGACGTGGCACTCAGTGCTCTGGTCTAGTCGACAAAGTGCTGTGAAGTCATAGGTTGGACTTGATGATCCTGTAGGTCTTTTCCAACACAATTGATTCTGTAATTCTAAATCTGGCAGCTCATCTAAGAAATAACTGAGATCCTACAAGTCCTGTGAGGAAAAGGCAACCAGGTAGAAGACAGAAAGCACAAGGCTCATTTCTTGGGAGACACCAGACGAAACACACACAATCAAAGTGCTGTGAAGTCATAGGTTGGACTTGATGATCCTGTAGGTCTTTTCCAACACAATTGATTCTGTAATTCTAAATCTGGCAGCTCATCTAAGAAATAACTGAGATCCTACAAGTCCTGTGAGGAAAAGGCAACCAGGTAGAAGACAGAAAGCACAAGGCTCATTTCTTGGGAGACACCAGACGAAACACACACAATGAAGCTCTTTAAAACACCCCAGTGCAGGACAGTTTCAGTGCATCAGCCACAGGACACAGCCCACAAAAACTTCCCTCAGTTCCAGCTCCAATCAAGCTTTGCTGAACATGGGTGGATTGTTTTCTTATTGTACAAGAAGTCAGCCAGAGCCTTATGACACTGAGCACACATCAATATCAAATTACTACAGCACAGCCTGGCTGCTTCCTCTCCTGAAGATGTTCATGTTTTCCTCCTCTTTCTTCCCTCCGTCCTGCAGCAGAGTTTGTACCTTGAAAAGAAAAGGCTATTTCCAAATCACTACAGCCCTGTCCAAACTTTTACTCACACTGTTCTGTGCCAGAAGCACAATTTGCACCCAAAACCAACACTAAGACTTTACACCTTTCAGCAAGGCAATGAGTCTTTCACATTCAAAGAATGAGGCAAGAGGAGTAATTCTCACTGGGAATGGTGTGTGGGAGCACTCAGGGATGCCATGGAAGTGTGCTGCTGAAGGGGGTAAACCTTCTGGCAGAGGAAAGTCCTCAGAAGATCCATCAAGACCATGCAATGGCAACTAAATTTAAGCTTAAAAACACTAATGCTTCAAGGATATAGTTGGAAAGGTGTCAGAAATAAAGAGTACAGGAGCTTTGTGCTCCCACAGAACCTCTCTGCTGGAGAAAAGGTTCTCAAGCCATGACCCTGCTAGTAACAGCTCTCCCACCTCTGCCTGCCCTTGCAAAACTGCACAGGATCAACAGAGTAAGAAATGACTTCGCACCACGAGGTCACTGGAGAAAGAGTCAGGCAGAGCAAACAATGCCCCAAGACCTGCAGTGCCCCAGAAACACACACAAGCCGTTCTTGCCCCAAGCTGGCACAAGGGTCAGGAGACAGGAGCACTCATTCTCTGTGTATGGTGTGCTGGGTCAACGTCTGAAGTCTTGCCTTGCTTACCACACCACGGAGCTCAGATCCTCTGAAACTGCCTCCTGGGCATTCCCTCAGCTCCATTTGGGGCTCCACCAGCTAAACCTTGCTCTGGTCCAGGCTGGGAGGGTGAGAAGAGTAACCAGATCCCTTCCAGTGCTTCACCCCCAGCTAGGCTGGAGCTGGGGATAGGAGCTCTCATTTCAAAGGGTCAGCAACTGGAGCATCCACTCTCCTTCCTGAGCAGTGGGAAATCTTGGACAGCAAGTCCTGCAGGTGTTTGGCTCAGTGAAACAGACTCAGCCAAGCATAGAATATCTGCACAGCCCTCACTTTTCATAGAAACACAGAACATGAAGCTAACACCTGCAGATAGCCGCACCAGATGTTCCCTTTAACACAGGACATCCTGGAGAGCAGGGTAACAGCATCCCTCAGTGCAACCAGCCAGTTTGCCCTCATTCCATTTGGAAAACAGCCCCAGAGCGCTGGTGCCCAGCAGGAGAGTGGCTGCCAGCAGCGGCCACAGCCCGAATGTCACCGAACAGAGCACGGGGCAGGTCGGGGCAGTCTCACGGGGCAGCCACGCCGCGACAGCTGCTGCGGGCAGCACATTTCGGCAGAGGCACATTCCCTCGTGGGGATGAGGAGAGTCGAGTCAAGCAACTTCCCCGAGGGGACTCTGCGCCGGGGTAGAGCCTCCGGCTCGTCGCCGTGGGCCGGCCCCGCGGAGGGTCGCGTC